TGATGCACATAATGGTTGTGTTAATGCTTTAGCATTTAATAGAACTGGTAATGATATTTGTTCGTTTGTTTTGATTTTTTTTAATTATAATAAATTTTTCTAGGAACATTATTAGCAAGCGCTTCAGATGATTTACAAATTATTTTATGGGATTGGGCATTAAATCAAGCAGCTGTTGCCTATGAAAGTGATCATCATAGTAATGTTTTTCAAGTGCAAAAAAAAAAATTTATTTTATACAAAAAACAAAAAATTATTTTTTTTAATTAGGCAAAATTTATTCCATTTTCGGATGATTGTAAAATTGTAAGTTGTGCACGAGATGGTCAAGTACGTTTAGCTGAACTTCATCCGGATGGTTCATTATGGCGTACAAAAAAAATTGCACAACATTTAGCATCAGCTCATAAAGTAATTAAAACTGCACTAAACAAAACAACAGAAAAAAAAAAACTTTTTTTTTTTCAAATTTAGCTTTCAATTGATACAATAACAGGTACTGATGTATTCTCATGTGGTGAAGATGGTATTGTTTATCAAATTGATATTCGTGAAAATAAATCAAATAAGTATTGAATTTCTTTTTTTTTTTTCTTGGAAATTGATTATTTCTTTTTTTTTGTAAATTAGATTATTAACAGTAAGTAGTGAAACAATTAATCATTTACCTCTATATTCAATTGAACTTAATCGAAATAATCAAAATGAATTTGTTCTTGCTGCTATGGATCCATATATACGTGTATTTGATCGTCGATATATTGATTCAATTACAACAAAACCATTGAAAAGTTTTTGTCCAGATTCATTAGTAAGTTAATATATACAAAAAAAATAAAAGAACGTAAAAAAGAAAAAAAAAATTTTGTTTTTTCTTATTGTAGAAAAAAATTGAAGATCGTCAAAGACAACCATCAGTTACATGTGCTGTTTATAATTATAATGGCACTGGTTAGTACTTAATACAAAAGAAAAAAAGAAACCAGGATTATCAAAAGTGTTTGTTTACATCTCTTTCAAACAGTAAAAACAATCATATCTTTTACTGTTGAACTTCTAATCAATAAGATATTTTAATTCACCGTAGGATATTTATATTATTTCAATGTCAATCTTACTGAGATTGATGAGGAAATCATTCTAATGGATACTTTTTGTTCGAAGAGATATATTTTGTGGATTGTTTAGAGTCGATCGTGCAGAAAAAAATATTAAAAAGGTATATGCTATTTGCAGTCGTGTGGAATTTTAGCATTTTGTCTAACTTCCGTCGAAGTTTTCAAGATAAAAAGAAAAGATTATCAAAATTCAGGTGGCGAAATTCCATTTTACCTTTCTTGCACTATCTTGTTATAGACTTAAAATAATCATAATTCAAGAAAAAAAAAAAAGCGTTAATCATACTGTGTCAGGAAAAGTTAAACAGAATTTTTAGAAGATAAGAATATAGAATTAATCTTATAGATTTATATTAAATTATGTTCAAGTTTAGCTTGTTCTAGGAAATTGTAGAGTTTGGGAATGTATTCAATTAAAATCTCGTTTAGTCTTAACAAGTTCAAATCAAAACAAAAAAAAGAAAGAATCTTTAAGCTTATGCATTATTGATTTTTTTTTAAGCGATGTTTATTTGTCGACGAATTTTACATAGTTCATAGATGATATGTAAAATATAAATAATATGCGATACAAAAGTCTTGAGAAAAATATCAAACTCGACTATATCATATTGCTAACTTCAATATTAAGAAAATTTTTTTTTTGTTAGAAAGAGTAATGTCTCAACTACAAATAAAAAACTTTGAAAAATGAAATGTTTTTTGTAAAATATAGTTTATTTCCAAGAAATACCAGCCATCATCTTCAGAAATTATGCATGAATTCAATTCATTTTGTGTTATCTATTCGAAATATTTCAGATCATAGAAATTTAGCACAGGAAATAATTCATAAAAACACTTTTTGTTACCCTTGCAAAACGGTCAGGTGATAGAAACGATCAGTTTATTTAGTGTTTTCTTTAAGAAAAACTATTTATTTTTGTATAAAAATCAAGTATAAATTTAACTTCCAATACACCATTGAAAAGAGCACATTTTACGCTACAAAAATTAGTACTAAATTTGTTTTTTCATTTCTCTTCTCATTTGCAGAAAAATTACCAGAAAATAAAAAAATACTCCTGCTTAGTAGTGAATAATCTGACAAAATGAAACTGTTCGATGATAGACAAATCGAGTACATTTTCTATAATGTCGTCGGAATGGCTAAGTCCATAAAATGAGCAATCCAGCCTTCAAAGTTTTGCTAGAATGTTTGTCTCTAATCCATGTTAACGTAAATATTCTTAGACTACATAGTAGGTTTCCAAAAAACCTAGACTTTTTTTCTGTCTTTAAAAAATATTCAATCGACAAATATAGTATATTCGGAATCAGCATATTAAACTATGTCAATTGACATATAACACAAAACAATTTTGAAGAAAGAAATTTTCTCGAAAAATTGAGGGCAAGGATCTTCGTCAGGTATTTTTCCTCGAAAAGTTTTTTTTCTTAAAAACGACTCTTCTGCATTATATCCAATCATTTCTGAGCAAAGAAATCTGTTTCGAAGGAAGAAAGTCACATTTGTTAATTTTTGTTCAACTTATGTATTCCTTGTGGTAGAATAATTACTGTGTTTTCTTGAAATTTAATATTCCAAAAAATACAAAAATGTTAATTGACTTGTTAATAAAAAAAAAAATGTTATTATTTTGTTTTTTTTTCTATAGAAATCCTTGGTACTTATAATGATGAAGATATTTATTTATTCGATGCAACACATTCAGATGGTGCAGATGCTATTCATCGTTATCGAGGTCATCGAAATAGTAATACAGGTTCGTAAATAATTTCTTAGAAATTGATATTAAATATCTTTCTTTTTTTTTTCTTTAATTTAGTAAAAGGTGTTAACTTTTATGGTCGTAATTCTGAATATATTATTAGTGGAAGTGATTGTGGTCATGTATTTATTTGGGATAAAAATTCTGAAAAATGTATTTGGTATGATAAAGGTGATGATGATGGTACAGTAAATGTTCTTGAACCTCATCCACATTTTCCAATAATTGCAACAAGTGGTCTTGAACATGATATTAAAATATGGACACCACTTAGTCATGAATCAGTTGATTTTAAACGACTTAAAATGGTATGAGAAGATTTAGAACAAAAAAAAAAAAACAAATATTAAATTTTGATTTGTTTTTTATTTTTTTTTTTTGTATAGTTAATGAAACGAAATGCTCGTGAACGTGAACATGAACTTCATTTTGCTAGTGTACTTGATACAGATACAGGTGGTTTATTACGTTTAATGCGTCCAGTATTTCGAAGAATTGTTCGACGAGTTGTAATAAATGTTTTTTTTTCTTTTTGATTAAAATAAAAATTCGTTTCTTTTTTTTCAAGAATGCTGACGGCGAACGAACGAATGACGATGATGATGATGATGATGATGACGATGACGATGATGATGATGATGAAGTTACAAGACGTGCTCGACATATTTATTCATTTGATTGTGCACCATCATAAAATCATTTCTATTGTTTTGTTTGTTTATTTGTTTTTTTTTTTTGTTTTATTTTTTCAAAAAAACAAAAGTCAATCATTGCAGTATATGATTACAATCAAGTGTATGATTGCCTTTCGCATATTTGATGTACATTATTATTTATATAAAGTTTTCTTTCTTTTTTCTTTTTTTTTTTTTTTTGTTTAGTTCACCTTGATCATGATGAACGTTCTATCATGTATTTTTATTATGTATTCGATTGTAAATATTTTCCCCTTTTCCTCTTTTTTTTTTAGGGGATGATAATAAAAAACAGAATACCCTGAAAATTTTATGTTAATTTATAAAGATTTCTATTCTAAGATAATGAATTTATTTCTGAATTATGGTAATAAGAAATAAAATCATAATAAGAGTTTAATTATCTTTTTATAAAGTTGAAAAAAAAAAAAAAATTTTTTTTATGAAAATGATTAATTTATTAAAAAATAACATAAGTTTATGCATTCATAAATTATATAAAGTAATTCCTTAGATAGCACTCAATCAGAGATGTCCTGACCGGAAGGATATGACACTCTTGCAATTAAGAAAACTTTTTGGTTTTTCCCAACGGAACCAAAAATTTTAAGTACGTTCCCTTAGACAAAAAAAGAAAAGAATCTTTACACCTTTCCTCTAATGTTGGCTATCTCTTGCTAGCTCTACATTCAATTTTAAAACGATTGAGAGAGATCTAAAAATTAACTGTTAGTTATCCATAGTATATTTTTCGATTAGTATCAGAGAAGAAAAACTTATGAATCTACTGATACTACGAATATAAATATAAAGAGCAAATGTGTCATGTTGTGCTTCAAAAACAAACTCAAAAACCTATAATTAGATGTTTATTAAAAATGAGTCATCGATTGATATTTGCCACAATTACAGCATATGAGAACCAAAATTTTGGAATACGAATCCAATGAGCTCTAATTACGACTTCGTATATTGTATAATTTTTGCATTCAATAAAAACAAGATTGATGATTGTATCAAAAAATATTTTCATGATAAAATCGTTTTGTTTTTATCGTTAACCATCAATTATGAATCATTTATTTAAACTAGTAGCATTTATTCATTTATTTTTTTGTCAAGATTTCAAAAAGAAAAAAAAAAGAAAAATTACAATCTTATGATTATTATCCATATAGATATATACGTATACATTCATGACAACTGATTTGCGTGCGTAAATGTTTTTTATTATTTTTCTTTTTTCTTGAACAAAACAAAAAAAGATATCAATAAGTATGAAGAAATAAAATATATATATAGAATTAAAAATCACACATATGCAAAGACAATACTAACAATAGATTCTTAAACATACGGAAATTAGAATTGTCAATTTATGTACATATTTTGATTTTTATTTATGTTTGGAATGACTAATTAAGTATTTCATGTTTATTATAAACTGATTGTCGTTGTTGTTGTACCTAAATAGAAAAAAAAAACAAAACACCCAAATGATGATTCATTAAAAGAAAGTAAAAATTGAATACTTGTTTTCTCCATTTTGATTGTTCATGCGTAACTAAATTTAAAACAGTTGATGAACGTTGTGGATTTATTTGTAAACCACTTGCAATTGGTTCACTAAATACACATTCTTGTGTTGGATTAGATAAATTAACTTCTTCATTAACTTGTCTTTGATATTGTTTTGGTTGTCGTACTGTAGTTGATGATTTTGTATTTTGATTCATTAATGGATCAAGACAAAGTAAAAATGACATATAAATAAATAATAATGATATAGCAACCATTATTATAATAACAACGACCTAGAAATGAGGACAATTGAATTATTTAACCTTCTTATTTGTTTTTGTTGAAAATTTACTTTCATTGTAGTTGTATTGCGTACTTCATAATTACAAACACATCTTTAGAAAAGAGAAAAAAAAAAAAGCAAATAATTTATTTATTTAAGTCAAATTTTTAGAAAACTTTGTTTTTTTTTTTACCTTGGACAAAAACGTTGTTGAAAGCTAGGTGATACTTTCATTGTACGAAAAACAACACGTTCACATGTACAATTATCTGGTGCAACAACATCAACATAAACACGACGATTTGTTTCATTTACTGATGGATCTTGTAAAACAGTAAATGATGGACAAACACATCGACATCGATAATCTTCAAATTCATCACCACAATTAACAACAAACCATAATGATAAAGAAAATATTATTAATAGAATAAAACGATTTAACATTATTTTTCCTTTTGTTTTAAACAAATATGAATCACGAAAAAAAAAAAACAACAATAACAACAAGATCTACAATAGTGTAAACAATTTTTTTTTCTTTACGGAATAAAATGTTACGCTTGAATAAGTAGAAAAATCAAGTGTAGCGTACAAGGTGATGACATTTTATATAATGATTGATTTTATCAATTGAGACTTACATTTTTCTAATGAACAGAACAAAAGGTGTCCTTTCAATAGTCGAATCTAATCATCTATCTATTTATTTATCATGAATAAATCAAATAGACTAACGAGATAGATGTCACTTTAAAGGTAAAAAAATACAATATTTTATTTAGACAATTTCAATAAAAATAATCTTTTAATGTTTATTTTCTATTAAATAAAATTCATAAATTTATTCAATCAATTATCAAATAAATCTTATTAGGGTTTCACAACAGACATTAATGGTAATATTTCAATAAGTCTGTTTCCTTGCCCTCTTCTCCCTCTCTCAACCACTCTTACACTTCATGTATTGTTATTCTCTTGAAAAAGAAAAAAAAAAAGGTTTCTATTTTGTTTTCCTTTAGATCATGTGAACTTGTTCAAGTGATCAAGGTGATCGTTATCCTTAATAAATAATTTTTTTTTTATTTTTAATCATGACAATATAATGGAAGAACCATTAGAACAAGAACATTCAATAACAAATGATGATTTAAAACCATCATCATCAACAACAACAACAAAATCATCTCGTTCAACAAAACCAACAACAACAAATGGCACAATACGTCGTCATAAACGACGACGTCAAACAAATAGTACCCGTTCATCAAGTGATCATTCAACATCATCAAGTCGTTCATCATCATCATCATCAGCAAGTCATTCATCACATTTATCAATTAAAAATTCAAATTTAAATGAACAAGAAATTCAAAAAACTCGTAGTTATCTAGCACAAGAACAATTACAAACAATAATTAATAAAACAAAAACAGGAAAATATGATGTTTTGGATAGTTTTGCTTTTTTATCATTTGAAACTGATGATGATTGGCGTATTGCATTAGAACATTTTAATCAACAACATTTACAACGAACATATACAACTAAAAAATCATATTCATTATCAGGAAAGAAAAATGGTAATAATACAGATCATATAGATGTACATTCATTACAACGATCAACAAGTGTACCATGTAAAATTGAAGATGGACAAAGCATATCGAATAATTCAACATCAAATCCAATTGAAGAGATATCAATAGAAAAGTATGTAATTTTTTTTTGTATTATTTTCCAATGTTGATTTTATGAAATATGAAAACAGAAAATGAGAAAAAATATTTTTGTGAATAATTGTAAAAAAAACACAATTACATATTTTTATGCATTATTGTTGAAAATTATGACATTGTCAGATTAACAATTATTTTATAAAATACTTTTTTTTTGTCTTTGAAGTTTGTTTTAATCCATTCTTATCCATAAGATTTATATAATAATCTTCTATTAATTAAGATTTAATCAATGATATTCTTTTTGTTGTTGTTTTTTTCTTCTTTCTCTATTTTTATTAAGTAAAATTTAGTTTCATGTTCCCTTTTTTTTTTGCATAGTCATTTATTCCAAATCATTGAATTGCAAGTCGATAGTTAATGTCTTCCTTAGGTTATTGTAAAAAGAAAAACAACAATATCGAAGCCTAAAGTCATTTGTATTCTTAGGTAGACAGTTCTTAATATTAAATCTCATGATTTAATGAATCTATCATCTTATATAAATAATTCTTTGTAAAATAGAAGAAGTTTTATCTATTTGAATTTTATTGACAAAGAAAATATTATTTATTTTAGTCATCGATCATCAATGTGGCAGAATACATCACCAAATAAAAATTCTAATGATCGTTCATCATCAATAACAACCATACCACCAACAACAACAATTAAAACTGAACCTATAGATCAAACAAATCGAACAACATCTGAACATGAAGAAAATCATATTGATAATGAACAAAATCAAAATTCAATAACATCATCAGCATTATTACAAAAATCAAAAGATGATATTAAAATTATTGAACCTAATAATGAAAAAAAACATCATCATCATCATCATCACCATCATCATAAATCACATAAACGACATAAAACTAAACATGATCTTAGTATTAATGGTGATAGGTAAAAAAAAACAAAAAAAATAATTTATTTTAAATATTTATTTTTCAATTATTTTCTAGTAGTAATAAACATCCGACAATCACATCCATGTCCGATTTAGCTAAACAACATATCAAACATGAACCAATATCATTACCATCATCATTAAATTTTCCACCACATTTTGATCCAAAATTATTTCCTATGCCTTCATTTACACCATTTCCTCATCCACCACCACAATCACAATCACCATTTCCTGGTTCATATGATCAATCATTAATGTTAGCTAGTCGTCTTTATAGTGGTCAATATCCACGTGATCTTCTAATGCCACCACCACCAAGACCACCATCACGTTCATTACAACATCCATTTTCATTAAAAGATAATATATCTGATACAACAATGGAAAAAATGTTTGAAAAATATTATCCAGGTGTATTACCAAGTTATTTAGCTGCTGCTGCATCAGCAGCTGCTGCTGTATCATCAAATAGTAATTCACCTGTATCATCATTAAATGTTAAAATGCACGGTACATCACCAAATGGTCCTGATCATCCATTATGGTCACATCGTGAATCATTACAAAGACAATATTTATCAACAACAAATAAACAATCATCAACAAAATCACCATTATTTGATACAAATACAAAATTATCATCAAATCATTCAAGTACATCACCTATAGATAATAATCATCACCATCATCATCATCGTCGTCACAGTTCATCAACATCAAATACTGATATATCAAATTCAACAACACCATCAAATCATCCACTTTATTTAGCACCTGTTATTGTTACTGAATTTCATCAGGTTAGAATTATAAAAAATTAAATAAAAAAAAAAAAAATTTTTGTTTTTTTTGTATTTCTTTATTTTAGCATCAACATAATCATAATCATACACATGAACATAAATTAAATATAACAACAAAAGATGATAGACAATTATCACCAAGATCTAAAACACCATCGTTATCAAATGAAAATAAAAAGATGAAAACAAGCTTTTCCGTTACAGACATGTTTATTGATAAAACATCACCTGTTATTAAACATTCACAGCAACAACAACAACAACAAGGTTTTCTTTCTGTTATTAATAACAAAAAAGATACAAATCAAACATCATCAATACAATTAAAAAAACCATCAAATGGTAAATGGTCAACAGCACATATACATATTGCATGGATGATATTTAATCATGAACAACGACAACGTGAAAAATTAAATCTTAATCAAGCAAATAAAATTCGACCACCATCTCAATCAACACTTTTACCACCACCATTACCATTAAATGATAATAATAATGATTTATCATTATTACGTCCACCACCACCACCACCACCACCACCACCATCAACATTTCCATTTCCATTTCCATTTGATATAAATAATTCACAACAAAATTCTTTATTACGATCAACATCAACAGCAAAATTACCACGACCAACAGTATCATCATCATCATCATCATCAACACCATCATCAATTAAAACATCAACTATAAAACGTGAACAAAAAATACCATTTATTGATGAACGTATACGACATACACCACCATCACCATTATCACGACCAACATCATCATCAAATTTTCTTCCATCATCACCATCACATCGAATGAAGGTAAACAAAAGAAAAACAAAAATGTTTTTTTTTAATTAATTAATTAATTATTTAAATTTTTTCTTTTTAATAGATGGATTTTCCATCACTATTATTACCACCACCACCGCCATCACAACATCAATTATCAACATTTTCTTTAAATGATGATCGAAAACGTTTTTTAACACAACATACAGATCTTTTATCACCATTTGGTGGTCCGCCACCACCACCATCACCATTTTTATCAACATTTTTTCCAATGGGCGCACCGCCAATGCCACCACCACATATACCTTCATCATCATCTCGTCGTAGTGGTATAAACAGTGATTCACCAAAATCATCATTATTTCCTCCACCAATTGATTTTATTCGATCACCTTTATTACCATCGGGATTTCCTTTACCAAATAATCATCTTGAATCTGATCGTTATCGTTTTATACTTGAACAACATGCACGTGAACGAGATATACAATATGCAATGATGGCAGCAGCAGCATCAGGTAATGCACCGCCACCACCGCTTTTTACCGATCCAAATTCATCGGCACTGTTTAAACATTATTCAAATTGAATTTTTTCTTTTCTTTTTTCTTTTTTGTTTTGTTTTATATATATATCTATCATGACTTGTTTTTTTTCTCTTTTTTTTCTGTCAGACGAATTCTTGATCTCTCTGTCTCTGTCTTATTTACTTCACGGATCCATGACGCAACTTATTTTTGTTTATTATTTTGCATCAACAGTGTCTTCTTCATATCTCTTTCTTTCCCTTTCTCTCTCTCTCTCTTTCTCTTGTTTTTATTCTCGACTTATGAGTGCGTGTGTGTGTCAATTTCATTTTCGTAGAAGAAAAAAAGCAAAATAAATCTTAATTGTTTTTTTTCTCTCTTATCTGTATTCATTGGAATTCTATTCTTATTTGGGATATTTACTTCTTACTCTACTTTAATACTCACAATCGTGTTATATATATATGAAATTTTTTCATATGAGTTTGTGTGTGTGTGCGCGTTTGTATATGTAAATAATCTATGTGTGTATGTTTACAATTTGACAAACAACGCCAAAAATATACTCTCAATGAATGCTATAATAATAATATATTTATGATCAATTGTTCGAGTAGAGAAGTAAAAAAAAAAAAAAAAGAACTATCTTGTTATTTTAATTGTAAGAATTCTTATCAAGAAAGAAAAAAGTGGTATTATGTTTATTGAAGAATATGAATAATAATGTTAATAATGCCTTCTAGAAGAACATGTCGATAATAATTCTTGTCGTTTTTTCCTCTTCTTCTTCTTCTTCTTCTTCTCCTATCTTGTTTACAATGATTAAGTTGTCTTTTTGATGTTATTACGCAGGAGGATACTCGATGATTCTAAGCTTAAAAGAAAAATAACAAAGCAGTTATCATGTATCATCATTCTTCTCGATAATTCTCATCGTCATATATAACGAATAAAAAAAATTACGTACAAGCGATATCGACTCGTTCTATGGATGAATATAAATAGGCCTAGAAAAAACGTCTTTCTAACAGACAGAATAATAATAATAATAATAATACAATCATGAAGCTTATACTCGTCTTCGCTTTTTTGGCTCTTATTTGTATGGCTCGAACAGCACCGACGGTAAAATTTAATAAAAAATTCTTTTATTTTAATAATCTTATTGATTTATTTCAAAAATAATAGCCATCATCAACATCACGTGTACTTATTTTACCTGATTATCATGAAGAAAACGACCATGAAGATAAAACTCATACAAATATTGACAATAATCATGATGAGGAGGAGGATGAAGATGAACATCCATCAACAACAACAACTATTCGTTCAACTCCTGGATTTCCATCAAGAAATCCTGATTTAATACCAACGCGACGACCAATACGAGTAAATATTAAAAAAAGATAAAATATTTAATAGGTTGTTTCGTTTTTTATTATTATCTAGACTCAACGTACATCATCAATACAAACAACATCTACTTTTGGTGTTGATGATGATGATATAGAAACTATTGATGAATATAACGGCGATTATAGACATTTTCAAGATCTTCGTAAATATCTCCAACAAATAATTGAAGAATTTAGAAAAATGGTTCGAAAAATAATGGGTTCTGATTTTGGTGATACATCACAACAGAATTCAATCAATCAATATGATCATTAAAAATAATTCAATAAATTTATTTACTAAATATAACAATTCTTTCTCTTTTGTTAGTTATTTTTAGATACTTCATTAGCAAAAAAAAAAAACAATTTGTATATAGTTGTTATACATTATTTGCATGATATAATCTACTCGTATTTTGTTTTGCTTGATTTAAATATAAATATTTTATTATTCTAGAAAGAAAAAAAGAAGTTTAATCAAGCATATCTTCTTAACAAAGAATATATTATTTCGTACAAATAAAAAAAGAATTATAAATAGTTTATACGATCAAAGTATCTTTCTATATGGGACTATCCCAGAAGATAAATATTTCCCTTGTCTTATTTAAGTGTACAACTTAACATTGAGTTCTAAAAATCTTCAGACATATATGAAGAATGACACACGCACATAGAAAGTTACTTGTTTCTTTACTTATCGTCTCTTACTATTTATTTATTTATTGATTAATAATAAATATTGTCGTTTGTTATTGTCTAACGCATATGTAAAAAAAAAAAAAGGCAAAAGAATTCAAAATCAGAAATATTTTTCAATTAGCATAAGTTTTTTTGTCTCATTAATTCTATACGTCTATATCTGATAATATATTATTAATTATTAATATTTTTGATTATTCTTATTATTTATTTTTATGTCTATGATAAAAAAAAAAGCAGAATACTTTTTATGAATCATCGATTTTTTGAGTATTTTCCTTTGATATAGAACAAGAACTTTGTACTCGGATACTTCTATCATCTTGGGTCATGAAGATCTTATCCTTTCCTCTCGTGATTAATTTGTCAACATTTATTATATCTTTCGTTGACATATGAAAAAGTTTGTATCAATCAAATATTTGATGTAAATATCGGTTTTCAATTATATAATTAGATATAAAAAGAAAAGAAAAAAAAAAAGATTAATTCGATTGATGATTATTATAGATGAAATACATAAATTTGTCTTTTCATTCAAGTGAAAACAATTAACATTTATATATTGTCACATGCCATTTGATTTAATAAATATTCTCAATAAATTTTATATTGCCGCATGTAAATAACTTCTTGACATTTTTCTTTTGCAAATTTTCGGGTTTTTTTTCCTTATTTCAATAGTGACATACACAACAATTTTTTCTTTTTCTATTCAAGCCAGTCTATATATTTATCTTCGAAATAAAATAGTAAAAAAATAAAACATACAATTTATTTTAAATAGATTGATTATCGATCAAGAAAGATAAGTATCAATTTGACAATACAAAACAAAAACGAATAATGTCCTTAGAAACTCAACGACGATTAATATTATCTGAATGGCGAAAAGTTTTAGTTAGTCAAACATCATATCCACTTATGTATACAATTGAACGATTACCACAATCTAAAGAAGAATTACAATGTTTTTCAACAAAATATGCTATTATTAAAATTCCATTAGGTAGTCGAATTATAACAAAATGGCAAGAACAAGTACGTCCAATAGACAACGACAATGATCAATGGTATGTCGTTCGTGAATGGACTGAAGCAGAAATGTAACAAAAAACTTTATACTTGTTTCTTTTTTTTTTATTTTTTGAAGAAATATATATCTATGAATATTAGTATAGATGAATAAAATAAAGACAAAACATATATGAACGAAACTCACACAAAATCTTTTTATGTCAAGAAAATTCATTGTAGTATAATTTTCTAATGATATTCTTGAAAAAAGATAACAAAAATGTTAAACTAACGTAATAAATATTCTAATCAGGCGCGAAGGTTAAGACTCAGTATGTAGTGCAATCGAAAAAAAAAATGCATGATAACATTCATATTGATTGATATGAATAAAAGTGGTGGCCCAGTTTTTTTTTATAGTTTTTTATACCCATTCGTTCTGTTGATTGAACGCTATGAGACAATATTAATGGTCATGCATCGATGCCTTACCTTACCCGGGTGATTTAGTTTTTTTTGCCCGGAAGAAAGACTCTTTATATATGAAGGAGACAATCTGTATGAACATAAAAAATGTACTTGAAATATGACTGTGCTATATTTAGTATATGAACAGTAGTATACGACGATAAACGAAATAATTCGATATTATTTGGAATAAAAGAAAAAGAAAAGAAATATGGCTACGTAAGTTAATGATAATCCTTATTAAAGATGTTAACTAATGTCTTTTTGTAAATATTTGGTTTTTAAAGATTTTCTTAATTTTATTAAAAATATTGTCATTGAATATAACAAAACAAAACCGTTATTTAATGAATGTAATATTCATTGACTCGATGTCTATAAATTTGACATATATACGAAGAATGTTAATTACTTAATTAACTAGACAATAAATTTCAATTATTCAATATCTACAAAAAAGAAAACAACTAATTGTCAAATTCTCATACTAATTTTATTGAAAGAATATCTGTACGCTTTCTAAACATCTGATTTATACTGTTTTATAGAATGTCTTCCAACGCGTATCAGTCTTATCATGAAAAAAACCGTTGCAATTATTAGAATACTTTTAGTCCTTCGTCTTTTTTCTCTATGTATAGTTGTTATAAGTTGAAATGACAAGCAGTTACAATCACAATTATCTACAAGGATTTTTTTTCCGGCAAGGTCTTTTACTTGTGTATATTTGTTAATTTACATCATTATAAAATTAAAAAGTATATTATTGAATAGTTTACAAATAAAAAAGAAACATTGAGATTTTAGTCAATGAAAAGAAATATGAATCATTTCAAAAAGAATTAAAAAAAAACAAAAAAAAAAAAGTTTTATAAATTTCTATACAATTATTTTAAAGAAAAACAGTAACATAACTGGTGTTCAATATATAGTTGTCCTTGCCATTATTTCATGATATATAGTTCCGCAAGACTGATTTTTGTCTACTGTCGTTGTCATTATCAATGTCTGCCTTTTTTCTTCCCTTCATATGCAGAAAATCACAAACATAAATTGTAAATCGACTCTTGTATATCTTTTTTGTTTTTATTCACTCATCCACATAACATATTATTTCGATACTTGTATATTCTTTGTCTCTTCTTTTTTTTTTTTTGCTACTTTTAGGGGTCGTGATTATAATAAAATCAAAGATAATACAGATCGAGAAGTCACTCCAACTTGTGTAAAAGATCCTATTCAAATTCATCGAATTCTTTCAGAAGTTGGCTTAAATTCAAGTGGTTTTATTCTTAGTCCAACACCAGAAAACAATCCATTACAGGAAACGATATCAAATCATACATCAGCTTTTTCTAGTTATCCTTCACAACAAACACAAAACAATCAACATCCCTTACAACCTCAATCACAAACCTTATTATCAACAGGTCGACCACCTGCATACGTACAACAACCTCCACCTCCGCCACCAACATTACGATCTCTTACAAATCAATCATCTTCAGCTGCAAACGAACAAGTTCATTCGACATCGAATAAACAACAGTTAGGTCCACCACCACCATCATCATCACAACCATCTCAAATATTACCATCATTTTTTAATCGCGGTACAACGAATACACAAAATCTAACTTCGCAATTGCCAGACGATATGCCTCATCACGCTTTTTCACCACGACGATTACCTCCTTCACCACTAGATTGTGATTCGAATCATCATGATTCGAACTTATCAGTCGAACATTATTTACGTGAAATTAATTGTCAAGATATTCCACCTGTTAAAGTCGTTAAACCAAATAAACAAAATATTGTCTATCGAAAAGAAATTCGTATCCGTTATTTACAACCACCAACACCACCACCGCCAGCACCAATTATTATTCGTGAAAAACGTATACCACCTGCTCCACCTGAATCAGTATTGTTTTACTTTTATTCATTTTTTGTTGTTTTTTCTCTAATTTATTAATTCTATTGTTTTCTATATTTATAGCCACTTCTTATTCGTGAACGAAAACCAGAAGCATGTACACCACCACCATTAACTGTTCGTGAACGCCCACCAACACCACCTCCACCACTTGAGTAAAGAAAAAATAAAATAAAATGTATTTTTTTACTTATTATGTATCATTCTCATTTGTTTTTTCTTTCATATCATTAGACCTTATATTATTGATAAAAGGTTACCACCACCACCTCCTCAACCACGTCAAATTATCGTTGAACGTTTACCAACTCCACCACCAAAACCTCGTACAGTTATATTTGAAAAATGGTTACCCTATAAAAAATTAAAACGTCCTGTTCTATTACAAAAAGCTCCACCACCTGACCCTATTAAACCAACACGTAATGTTATTATTGAATATGAGCCATTAAAAGCTTTTACAGTTCGACGTGTTATTGAAGAAGGTGTTTTTCGTGTTGATCCACATAAATATTCAAGTTATAATGCACAATCTCATAGTGGTTGTGGTGATATACGTATTGTTGAACGTATTGAAGATTTACCACCACCAAGTGAACAATTAAGACGTGTTTTAAATGAATATGAGCACTCAAATTCATCACATATACATTGTTATGATCATCATTCTCATCGAAAATCACCTGAGCATATTCCATCATCTATTCAACATATATTAGCTGGTGGACGACCAACTTCTCATATGGATCAATTAATAAATGTATCACGTTCATCAAGTATACCAGCTCATAGACAAGAACGAGTTTTATCAACAGGTTATGATTCAGCAATACAAAGTCCAACTATTGTACCACTTCGACGTTCAAATTCAAAACATTGTCATCAATCATCACAACAAAAACTTGCATCTCATGATAGTCCTACAGAATCTTATATTAATGACGTTTATTAATAACGAAAATTATGTTTCTTTTTTTCTTTATAACTTGATAAACAAACAATTTTTTTATCTTTAACTTTTTCTTTTTTTTATTTATTCTTTTTTCAAAATAATTTTTCAATAATTTAATATGATGTGATTTTCTTTAAGAGCACGAGATTTTTTAGTCAACTAATAGATATGTACTATATGGATATATTGTATATCCATAATACAGTTTTTTCATATATATGTATGTGACGAAATAAAAGAAAACCTCTGCAAATTATATAAGAATATTTTGATAATATGAATGAAATTATTTTAATTTTCGAACTTCTTCTTCTTCTTAATTTTATGTTCAGAGATTTCAATTAAGATATACTCTACTGATACCGATCACTTTTCATGTTCTGTTATTACACTGTAATTAAAGATAGACGGAGAACTGTCTCACGCTCTTGGTCACACTTGGGCGCTTCCTATTCCTTTTTCTTTTCTTGCTCGGTGAGTGCATTTCAAGAGCGCGAAATAGGTTTTTTTTTGGTGTCCTTCCAGCACGAATAGAATCATGAGATAGCACAGTATGCACTTCATAGAGATTTATGCTAGAGCACGGAACAGTTCTCGTCTATTGTTGACTGTAATCAATTTAATCTCTAATACCTTGATTTAGGATAGGGAGATGAGACGAATCATTTTCCAGTATTAATACTAGGTTTGATAGGAATAAGATTTTATGTGAATATACATATTCATTGATTATATTTGTTATGTATTAAATTTCCGTTGTTCTTTTTATTTGCCTGTTTATCTTATTTTATTCTTGGATTATATATCTATATGGTGTAAGAATGGAATGTCTAGCTGTTAAGTAACATATTACAATCGACAAGGTTGAAAAAATAGTACTAATAAAATCTCTAATGGAAAGACTTCTCTGCATTTATGTCTCCATGACGTGTCAATATTCTGCCTACTTTAAGTAAAGTTCAACAGGTCTTGACACTTCTCCTTTAAAAAAATATCTTAACTTTTTCTTTTGTATATGTTAAAATTCTTATAGAAATTTCCCTATTTCAATATAATTCAAATATTTTCTTTTTTAAATGTAATAAGATTTAAATAATATATATATATATAGAATTTAATTCTTACATTTCATGTATGTAAGCACAGATGTTTTCATGTGAGTAACTTCTTTGATAACAACTGAAGATAATTACATTTGGATTATTTTGTAAATCAGTATCATAGAACGATAGATTAACTGAAATCCATGTTTACTCAAAAATATCTAAAGAATAGGCCATAAAAAAAATCTATATTGACTTAATCTAGTGTGCAGTAAGATAATTAATGTCCAATTGAAAGAGAATAACTTCGAACACTTTTTTGTCTGACACCATATAAGATAAAATTATCTTTAAAAAAAAACCAATCATCTTTGCAAAATATTCAAAATAAAACGATGTTTCATTTAGAAGGATAAACAGTCAGAAAATTTGATAAAACTCAACAGAATTCAATATAATTTGGTCAAATAGACACGCGATAGTCAACATTGAGATATAAGAAAATAATCAGCTGAATCGTGCTGGAGCACATATCAAAATCAAAATTACATCAAAACAGAACATCATTGTCGTACATTTTTTTTTGCGAAGATGGTGGGTTTTAAAATAATTTTATTTTATATAGTATCAGACAAAAAAGATATCCAAAATTCTCCTCTTTCGATTCTGACACAGATATTCAATGTCGAACGATTCATAAATAACTTTCAGTACTGGCCTAAAGCAATAACAAGAGAATATCAAAATAAAGTTTATTAATGGTATCATATTGATACATATAGAACAAATTTTTCGAATTGATTGTTTTTTTAAACATTCGTATTCATGTTCAATAATTCCAATATATAATTAAGCCCTTCAGAGACACTGATTCTTCCAGTGGTCTTACAAAAAAATCATTGTTTTTTTTTTATATGTTTCTATCGTTTAGTTTTTGTTATAATCTATCTTGTATTTTTTATTAATAAAAATGTTTCCACAAGTAAAATGACACATCAAAGTCATCTCGTTTATGTTAATTTTATTAATTAAAATTAAAAACTTTTATTGAAATAAAATTTTCCATGTCATTATTCTTACTTCATTTAATTCTTTAGTGACCGATATGAAAGTTTATGTATGCATGGTTGAATTACGAAACGATTAATATAATTCAATTATGTTTAAAATAAGAATAAAATATGAAAATATTTTTAGAAAAACAAAAGAAAACTTTCCTATAAAGTAAAACAAAGAAAGAAAAAAATTCACATTCAGCAAATATGCTATATTGTTTATTTTTTTTTTTTTGTCATATGTTAATATTAAACATGAGAAAAAAAAAGAAACACACAAACATAAAAACATTAGTATTTATATGTATAATAGAAGGAATGAATTTTATTTTCTGTCTATTTTTATTTGTTTTTATTCAATCTGACTTTAATAGTTTGCAATTGATAAATAAATAAATAAATAAATAAACAAATAAAATTAATAATACAAATCACCGGTCATCATTAAATTGATCAATCATTGATCGAGATAATTTCATAGCTGTTTGATTACGAATAAATTCTGTTGATTTTGATTTAACTAATGCAGAAAAATCAGCAAATGATGGAGAAGATTTTATTGAACGTGCACATGTTTTACAAACTGGTGCTGAACTATTACTATATAAACCAGGTAAATGAATACCACGTTCAATACAACGTGCACAAAAATTTTCTCCACATTTCCAACAATTATACTAAAATAAAAGAAATATTTTTGTATAAAATTATTCGTTAACGACATGACAGTGTACGAAAAACAAATGTTTTTATTGTAGCCGAATAAAGATTTTTGTACTCTTTTATGAAACAGGATCTAAAAGGAGTGTTAAAACATATAGAATAGAAATTAGAATCCACTTTCCTGTAGAATGTGACTAACAATTTGCCGATTCATCATAGATCATGTATGAATAAGAGTTCGTTACAATATATTAACTACTTCCTTATTGTTATTTTTGAATGTTTAAATAAAAGAAGAGTGAAAAAATGTGTCTATACTCAAAAGAACCTATTCAAAAAAATAACTCTTCTAAAAGTCAACTGAAAGGTATGTATGTCTCATTTTGCTTGAAATAGTTCATATTTAAATTTTATTTTTTCATACTTTTCGTTGTGCTGAATCAAATGGTAATGAACAAGCACAATGAACAGGTGTATGATATGAACGCCAATCGAGTGCTATTGAATTAAGTTCAAGTGCAATACGTTCTATTGTTGGTATATCATTTGTATCAATACTTGATTGATGTGGAAGTGTAAATGATGATAATGGAGTTTTACCATGTGGAGAATAATCACCACTAAAACCACTTTCAACATCAGATGATGATAATGTTGGTAATGGTTGAAGTATTGTATTTGATTTTAATGATATAGAATCAATTATACGTGTTTGACATAATTCAGCTTCACTTAAACCACTATCCAATTCGGATAGAGATATTTTTTTATGATGATTTCCTTTTTCAATATCAGAATCATCAACATCTTCATTTGATGTTGTTGTTGTTGTTGTTGTACTACTACTTGTTGTTGTTGGTATTTTTGTACGATCATTATCAAATATTGAATGAAGTTCACGAATACGCTAAAAAGAAGAAAAATAAAAAGAATATATTTTTTTTTTTTTTTTTTGAAATTTTAAACCTTTTCTAATAATCGTGCATGATCACTAAGTGATAATGTATGATCAACAAGACGTGTTAATGTATTTGATATATTTTCTTTTGGTAATAATGCACTATCAAAACGATGATACATACTTAACCAAAATCTTAAATAAATAAATAAATTAATTAAAATAAAAAATTTATATTAATTTATAATACTTTAATGTTTGAGGATTTATTACTGGTAAAAGAACTTCACTTGCATATGATGATTGTGGACAAAATAATGGATTTTTAAAATCATTTACATTTTGTAAAATATAATTCCAAAATGAATATGTTCGTTCTTTAACACTAAATTACGAAAAAAAAAAAGAGATTTCAAAAGATATTTTTGTTATTCATTAAAACAAACCATAAATCAAGTCGATCTTTTTCACAATTACCAACAAAATCTCCATATTGACATGAATGTGAATGATCATGTAATGATATAAGAAAACGTTCATTAAATTCAAATGCTGTTGGATATATTTGACTTAATTGCCAAACAGATTCAATAAACTAAAACAACATAAACCTTATATATATATATATATATATATCTCAAAAAAAGAAAATAAGAAAACCTGTAGAAAAATTGGTGATTGTTCTTTACTATCACTTGTTGTTGTATGTCCACAACGATCAGAAAATTTATGTCCAAATGAAAGCCATTCTTTTTCAATTAACATCTAAATTAATTTTTTTAGAAAAAAAAAATTTTTTTCTATTAAAAATTTTTAATTTTACTCGAAAACCATGTATTGATCGATAATATGGACAAAGAAGAAGTGATGATAATGAACAACATTGTGCTGTTCGATCCCAACCATCAGAACAATGGACAAGAACATTTTTCTTTTCAATTTCAATCGCCTAGAGAAAAAAAAAAAATTTTTTTTTCGTAAATTTTTGTTTTGTTTTTACTCGAGCAATAAATATAGCAGCATCTAAAACAGATTTTATATGTTGTAACCATGATGAATTATCAAGAGCATTTAAATATTGATTCATTGTTGGATTTTTCATTTCACATGCTACAAAAAAAAACAAAGGAAATTTATTTTTTTTTTGTTTTTGGAAAATTTACTTTCAAGTAATTTTTGTAAACTATTACGCATAATATGAATATTTTCAATTGGACAAAATTTAAATTGAATATTTGAATAATAACCTTCATTTTCATAACCTTTACCTGCTGCACGATTTGCTACAGCATTGATCTATTAAGAAAAAAATAAAACAAAAAATAATAAACTTTTGTATAA